TTACATTCAATTGATTAGAATATCGAAAGAGTGTTGAATGTACCTAATCTAAAATTTACCTTATCGTAAATTTGTTTAACCTTATTAAAGCCTAAAATGAATATTTTCATCGGATGATAGTGATAGTTCGGAATTCGAAACGTGGTTGTATCTCCTAGAAAGGGACCGACGCAAAAACTACACTATTATGTATTCATCCAACAGAAATAGTTAAGCTCTGGTTTCTCTGGGTTGGAATTAAAAGATCGAACGGACAATCAAAGCCTGCTCTCAATGTTGATTTGTTTGCTGGTCTATGAAACTTGGTCCAAAAACTGCACACTTACGCACTCACATTAACTTGACTAGATTACGGTTTAACTTAAATTCGTAAAAATCTATCAGCGGTATTAAGTACCCAGTAATTTTTTTTACGCTCGCTCAATGGTGGAGTAGTACGAGTAATTGCGGCGGGGTTTTAACTTGATTTAATGTGATGAGTCGTAGAAGTAACATAACACGACCAATCCCTAGCGTGTAATTTAAAACCGTTGCCAGACAACGAGCCGACAAATACAATTTAGAACAATTGATAAACGTTGGAAGATCACGAAAGCTCACCGTTACTCCAAGCGACAAAATAATAACTTGAACTTACTATGAGTAATATTTTTTTAGGATAATAATTTTGAGGTTTTTTTTTGCAATTTAGAAATTTTAGTTCCGCATGAAAAGTCGTTACAAATGGTTCTCAATCGGTGGGTCGGAGGGGTCGCGAAATTTGGAGGAAAAATTAAAAACAATTATTGTTACAGTTATTTATTTAATAAAGACAAACAATAAAACCTATATTGTAGACGTTTTTATTATCTATTTAAAAATAAAAATATAATTCATAGGAGGATCGGCAAAATACTCAACTTAAAAAAGGGGTCACAGTGTCCAAAATAATTTTTGCTTTAGTTTATAATGGAACGTCGTCTATTAATAGTCTAAGGGAGTCGTAATATGGAGTGTGGTACAATAATAATGTTTTATTTGCCCAACAGGAACATCCATTTGCAGGACAAACGCGAAAACACATAAAGAAAAGTTATTAATTCTAAATTAGTATTGTAAATAGTAAAGAATAAAGAATAAAGAAAAAAGAGATGATGTGAAGAGATGTTAAGAGGGCCAGAAATCCTGGGGAACACGAAATTGTATGGAGCAAGCATAAAGACGTGAAAAATGAGTGAGAGTAAAGAATTAAGAGAATACAAAGAAAGGGAGACTAAAGAAGGAATCGTGAAACTGGCTTGAAAGGGATTGTGAGGTGTGATAAAAGGTCGAAATATGTGAAAGAGTGAAAAAGAACTCATAACACAGACATAAAACAAGTCGATGATTCGAAAAGAAAGCATAAAATAATTATTACGAATAGAGAATGAGATGCGAAAACGTAATGAAGGAATAACGTATTTTCCTGAAAGTTATCTAAATAATTCAGAACTGACACCGACAGGCCTTTCTTCCTAAAATCGAGAGCTCTAAATCTATACGTGCTTTTTCAAACGAAGAGCATATACTGTCCCAAAAACTTGATTACGAAGAGTGCAGTACAAAATCAGGAACAATTAAACCAAATAAATTCCCTTGATTTAGTTAAATAATGCATAAAATACGGTAAACTAATTATATTATTGTATTTTAACAAATGTATTTGCTAAGATCTTTAAAAATATTTTGCCAAAAATGTTGGAACATACTTGGTCACAAAGACGCACATTACACAAATAGAAATATCAGTTTTGGACAGGAAAAAGTGGTGTCGCGGTAATGACGGTAACTGACGTCCATGACAAGCGCTTCAAATAAGTATAATGTGAAATCTATCTTGAAGGTCGACTATTCCTGGGGATTTACACTTGAACTTGGAAGAAAAATCGCTATAGATGTTAACTTTCTTTGAAAGGTTTATTTTTAGCTTTTTTTCTGTTACTTTTAAACTAATATTTTGTTCAAATTACAGATTTGACGTTGTGGTAAATCGGGCTGTTACAACTCCCAAATACTAATCCTGGTTTGTGTTTCATGCCGCGATTATATATCTAAGCACATTTAACCCCTTAACCATATATGATTCCACCTTCTCAAAGCTTCTGCATGAAATAAGAGCAGACTTCTTCATAAGTATCAATTCTCATTTAAGCTCATTTGTACATTTTTTGCGAAGTTACCACAAAAAACCTGCGATCAACGTTTCTTATTTCTTACGATTAGAATCTAAAATCGTCTTCAATTTACCACCATGGTTAATACTGATGGTGCAATTATAAATTCACAACAATTACTTGCGAAAATTTCCAGTTGTCTCCAAACCCGCATAAAATTGAGCATGCCTTTAAGTTCCCCCTTTGAATAATTCAATTGCGCATTTTGTATCTAATTACGAAAGCCACTTTTATACTGGAAGCGAACGGACGGCCTGTCTGACTTGATGGGGTATTTGAATGTGTTTATAGGTGTGGATGTTTAAGGTGGCGCGTTTACAAAAAGTGCAAAAGTTGCCTTGCGATTTTTTTTCCTCAATAACTTTGTTCCGAGGTAAAAAAAATGAACTTCTTATAACGACCGATGGTTGCTAAAGGTTTTAGCTTGTGAATGAAGTTAAATTTGGTAACAAATTATTATCAGTGTGTGATAAAAATGAAAGACATATATTTTATATGGGAGTTTTTTTCCTAAATAATGGCGAAAGTACAGGAATTAGCTAAATAATTTTTGTTTCATGCAAATGTCAGAACATTATATATTTGAATGAATGTTATTTCAACCAAAAATGTATACTTTCTTTCTCTATGGTAAGGAATTCTTTCTGTAGACGCATCTTGCCATGTCCGGTCTGCTAAAAATTGCGAATTGATATGGGCTTTCTGGCCCAGTGTTTATAAGTTAAAGTAGGTATAAACAAAAAAATCCAGATAAGCGCTAGGGACTGTATAATATGACAAAATATAAATACATAGGTTGCTCTTAAACTTTGAATGGTATGATACTGTTAGGGACTGTTAATAACCCACTCGATCACGCGATGGTATCACAGAAACATGTACCTGCATTAACAATTACCAAGTATGGAACGGTACTGACAAAAAATGTAATCAAAGTGATACAGTGATCGTCTTACGGCAGAAATCTTGCAAATGAAATATGTTCTCGCACCTATTTTAAGGTGGCTGTCTGCCGAAACACTTCTGAGTTTGGTTAGTAGAAGAAACAAGTAAGTCAAAACCACAACTAGGTGGGTAATGCCCATCACTCACATAGGCAGACGGACAGACTATCTTTGAAGTCGATACTTTTTTTGATTTTTTTGATAAAGACTTCCCCTGTAATTTTTGTAAAGGAACCATCAACCATAATTTCTAGTGGGGGTAAGACCCCTCTGACCACCCCCTGGCTACGGGCCTGTCTGGAACCCGAAAACCCGAAGTCGATACGAGGTCTTTTTCACAAAGAAAATCGGTACCTACACAAATAACGATTTTTAGATTTTTTAACCAAAAACACGTCTTGGACAAAGAGCAATCGAATTTGCCCATTTTCCCGAGAAAATTGGTGCATAAATAACGATTTTGACATCTATTGCCTTAAAATATTTTGGGCAAAAAAATGCATATGGGTCGCTTCTTGGGCATCAAGGAATAGAGTTCAGTTTTTTTCGGTAACAAAATTGATGCATAAATAACGATTTTGACCAATTTTAGGCAGCAACGTGATGGATGCCAAAAATTGATTTTGGACATCTGTGACGCATAAGGTTTTATGTAGCGAAAATAATTCGTACCGGAAAAATTCTCACCTTTTCTTTGCACCACTTCGCACCCAAATCTTTCGCTCTCATGACATTACGCACTACGCAGCCTAGGCTTTTCTGTCCCTGTACGTTTCGGTCTTGGAGAATTCGCACCTATGACATTTCTGTACCGGGATCTTTTGCTCTATGATAATTCACACTCGAGCAGTTCGCACTTTAAACCGGAAAATGTGCATTAGAAAGGTCTTTAGTAAAAAGTTTTGTAAATCTTTGCATTCTTTCTTAAAGTTATTTTTAAAAACTTACTTTACGATTGCATTTACAGAGTGTATGCGTAATATATGTCATTGTAAATATCTACTTTATCGACAAATGTTTCAAATGAGTAATTTGGTCCTCCAGTCTTCAACACATGGAAATTGTTGTAATTATTTCAATCTTCTTTTAATATATTTATTATTTGATATACGCAGTGAATAGGGATAATAGGGTTAATCAACAAATAATTGGTTATCATTTTGTATCTTTTTTACACAAGATATTGACGTGAGATGGCGCCAATTTAGAGCTCTTTTAGTTGTTGTTCATAAGTTATTGTGCTAATTACATACCGGGTGGTGTTCGGTAAGTAGGAACATAGAGATTTAACATGAGAAATTAGTTTTATGCAATATCCTGCCCTCCTGTACATTTTACAGAAAAAACTGTAGAGTTTAAAGTTGTTCAGAAGTTAAAGGTGCATACAAAACTGTTTTTACATGTTTTATTAAGCTTTTGGTATACCCGCAAATTTAAAAATAAATTTCAAAATTTCTGTTATTAGTAGCAATTCATAAAACAACAAAAGTCATGGCTATTGCTATACTAATAACAGAAATGTTAAACTCTGCTTTTTTTCTGTAAAATATACAGGAGGGCAGGATATTGCATAAAACTAATTTCCCATGTTAAATCCCTATGTTCCTACTTACCGTGCACCACCCGGTATATTTCATCTACCTTTGTCAATGGCAAGTAATTCAAGATATTGTAAATTAAAATCCATTGCAATTGCATGATTTGTTTGTAAAAACCTGCATATATTCGTTACAAAAATGAGGGAACACAATATACACCGTTGTTCAAAAATTCTGTACTTATTTTAAATATTATATTTAGTAATTTATGACTTTTTTGAGTAAATTGAGAAAGTATACTTATACATGTTCTTTGTATGCCATAGGTACGGTTCAGTCATGGAGAGGAGCTACAAAGGGATCCCTTTTCAAAGACACATGCTCCGGTGCACCCCCAAACAGTGCGGAATGCTGTTCGAGATGTGAGAAGAGGATTTACGCTAAGGGTTGCAGCCCAGAGGTGGAATATATCGAAGTTGCTCCTTCAAAGGTATTGTGCTAAACTTAGTTTAACGATCGCCCAAAAAGGGTCCAAATCGAATTGTCTGCAAATTGGGAGAAAACTTTCTTATTTCTCTGATAAAATGTGCCGATGCGGGGTATGTATTTAGTCTGTGCCATAGTGGTTGTGTTGAGAGAGAAAGTTTAGTTTAACTGTAAGCTTCTTGGCCATGATTGGGTGTTCATCTTTTTCACCTGAAGTTGGGACAGATGATGTGCCAGAACACTAAAAGTAGTCGCGCAGCAGTAATTAACCCTGAGATAATAAACACTAATTTTGATGATATCACCCGGAAAGATGGCCCTTCCTACCTTATTATCGACTACGACGAATCTTGCGTATCGGATAACCCTGGACGCGCGCGGTAAACCAAATTTAGTACACATATTCTGAGACTGAGAGGATTGTATTATAATAAAATGTCAAATTTTTTATGGAAACACATTTTAGCAAAAGTGAAAGTCATGTCAATGGTGATAACACTCAATAGGTACCTTTTGGCGTCCACTTTTGTTAAATATCTTCTAAATGACAAGAAATAAAAATTTGAACACACGTGTAACTTGACATACTCTTTATGAATTGTCAAATTAGAGTTGTCATTTTAAAAAAATAGTTGATGACGTCATATCTCAAATTAAGATACCCTGTATACAATTTTAGTACCTACATTAAAAAAACCGAGCATATTTCAAGAAAAAATAACTTGATTTATTGAATTTATTTAGTTAGAAACTCGCCCTGTATAGAAGCTTTTTTGAACTTGGTGGCATTTAATCAGTGAATATTAATATTAACCATTAAATAAAAACTTGTTTTATTTTATAGCAGATGTTAAATTGACATTTTAATAGGTTTGAATTTGGTGATGGTGCTAGCGAAAACTTGGATTGATGGCAACATCTTTAGAGCGAAGGATTAGAAAGGGAACGGAAAAGGAGTTTTTATAGAATTTGTTGGCTTTTCATGGCATATGATAGATCTTTCCAGCAACGCATTAGTTTTTTTCAATTTTTAACTGTCAGTACCATGAAAACCGGCCCAAGGGCTTTACACGAGGCCAATTATCAAGACATTCCAGCAAATCAATCCAATGAAAAAATTGACATTCCAATAAGTAAAATGCAGAGGGTTTAGGTATACATAGTCTTGTCCAGTGCATATTGTTGTTAGACGAAACACTTTATTGGATTGTCTGGCAAGTGGTTAGGAACGTGCGTTCTCACAAAGGCATTCCAAAAGCGAGACAGTGGTGGGGGAAACTATTGGTGCCAAAAGATAGAAAGCAAGTGGATTGGCTTAAGACAATAGCGACACATCCATTTTAATGGATTGTGTTTTGATAATTAGCCTCGTGTAAATGGCCCATTTTCACCCGGTTTGGCAAACTATAGTCACCGAATTTGTATTGTTATATGATGGGTTTATATAAACAGTAGTATTAGTTCGCTACCCATAGCTCATTAAGAAATAGCCAATAGAAACAACAGTTTGGTTTCGTTGGTTAGCGACGCACAATACCCCTTTGTTTCTATTGGCTATTTCGAAATGATATGATGATAATGAACTAATTATATTAATGACTGTATACACCCACCATTTAGTGGCGAGTATAGTGGGTTAATTTAATGGGTAAAAGTAAGTACTTTTGAAATTTACCAATAGGTACTATTAATCTCTTATGTTTAATTTTGTGATCCTTGTGTCTTCGACCTTCGCAACATATTTCCGGTCTTCATTGTATGGTTATGGTATTTCAATCTGTTTAGGCAGAGATCAGAATGATATTATTTTGTATTAGGCTTGGCATTGGATTTTGAGATTTGGTTGGCTCTAATTGTGCCGTCCTTCGTCATATTTAGACAATCATTATTTCGTAGTTACACACGACGAACAGTCAAAAATCAAAACTATGAGGGTCATCACCCGTTTTGAATGTATAATAAATTTATTGTCCATGGTCTATCTGGTACAACACTGTTACAAAAAGTGTAAAAATATTTTTTAAGAAAAGCTATTTGCCCTTGATTTTTGACAACCATGTTAAACGTAAAAGGGCTTACGTAAGTGACAGGTACAATTTCTTAATTCCAAATCCGTGACAAGGATAAGGACAAAATTATTGTAATTGTCAAAAAGTACCGTTAAACATTGACAATACGAGAGAACCTTGACATTTCTAGCGCATTTTTTCTTTGATCTTGAATTAGGTAACCTATCTGATAAGGTTATGGTCGAAAAATCAATTAACTCCAACTCGTCCTATTAACCTTACCTAATTATTTTTCGCACATCATCTTTCTCGGTGAAATATTGTGTTTGACGCGCACTACGTGTACGTAACACTGTTGTACAGTTTGGTGATTTCCAGCATTTTTTCCCTTTCAATTAAAAAGAAAGGTAAATCGAACGCACACATTTACGAACGGTTATAAAACATGGCATAATTGATGATGAAATGGTATTTCCCTAATTAGATAGAACTATCACTTTCACTGGCTCGCATATTTTTTTTTCACATACACCGCCACATCTCTTCCGATTAAAAATTGTGTAAGAACTAAAACAGATTGTTCTCTACACTGGCATTTGGAGCAATAGTTTCACGTAAGCCCGTGTACAGGATGAAGCTTATTAACGTCGAGCAGTCCCATGACCTGGTGCGGCCCTTTACATTCACTTCTAATGCATTTTACACTCAGACCACTTGAGCTGATTATATTTAGAATACAATTAGGTTATATCGACGTTAAGGCCACACTTTGAGAAGAAAAGAAATTTCCAACATCATTGATAACTAAATTTAGACCGGGCCAAAATTAGAACTAATCTACAATGGACGTCACCTCAGCAAATAGAAGCAATTTAAGTATGGCGTCTTACATATCGAAAGTGATGCAATATTCTTTTGCCCGACTTTCAGCAAATCCAAAAAAGACGATCAAACTTTCACATCAAGATCACAACCCACAAATTAAGGCGTGATTTATATCATGTTCGAGTTAAGTCGTGAGGGCATATTTTGCACACCTGACATTAACATAAAAAAGCGAATATTAATCGCTTTTTTTGGGCACGTTATCTTGATCAAAAAGTCGTTCTTTCATAATTCTATATTTACACTTACCTATAAATAACCGCGAAACAAGCGTACGTCTCTTCGGCTCATTAATTAATTGTTAAAACAGGTTCGTTCGTCGATTTTAACAACTTTGTCGGTACGTCATTAATTTCGGCAGTTTTTGCCAATTGCCACAGGAGTCGAAGACGAAATTCAAGATCAAGAGGTTTACTTGTGTATACGCATTGAAACGAGGTTGAGAATATTTTTTATGATCAACTAAATACTTCCTCAAAATAATTTAGTCAAGGAAAAATTTACTACTAGTGAATGGATTACCGTTATACTTACCTTTTTTTCGTATGTCCGCCGAGCTAAGTTGTGATGATTGCGTTAATACACGCAACCGTAGGGCATCTACTGCACTAAGACCGGTTAAAGGTAACGTTGTCAATTAATTTACTTCCTGATAGATGTCAAAAAGTTAATATTAATAGCTTTTGGCATTTAACACTCCTCTTAGTTTCGGCTGCAAGATCACTAGTAGGTACTTCCGCCATGTACCGTGAAGAACAGAAAGGTTACCGACTAGGTGACCATTGAATTATTGTTAACATTTGACCGTGGCAAAATTTTGATTATAGGGAGGACTTGGAAAAAGTACTTGGCGTTCAAGGAAGTCCATTTTCCTCAAATACATGCGATGAAGCTATTCCTTAGAGCAAACGTGCATAGAAACAGAATATTGGGACGAGTCCTAAATTATACCTTTTAGAACAGAAACTAATATAACAATGATGTTCAGTGCAAAACTTGATTTTCGCAAAAACCGGGCAACCAAACAAATGAATGAATAAAACGTAGGTAATCTTCAATAGTAATCGCCGTTTTTCGCCACCAAGGAAGATGGGCTATATGGACATTGAGCTCTTTTCGCTAGTAACAACATTTTATAAATATGTTAATAATTATACCTTTAAATTTGAATAATAAACGATTCCCGTTATAAGTTAAAATGTCAGCTTATGATCAGTGTACAGACATCACGATGAACTTTTTACTAAGATGGTCTTTCTCTGCTTAAAGTGATCTGTGTGATGATAATGTCGTACTTATGCAGATATGCTGCTATTTTTGTTATATTGGTCACTCGATACAACACCGTTGTCTTTTCGTCTTCAACGAAACTCATAAGTTCCCATAAACGAAACCATAAACATTTCCAATGCTAAAATAAAAAAGGTTTTCGAGTAACCATTTTGAAGGCGGATTCTGTAAAATTAAAAAAAGTGGGAAATAAAAGAATGGTTTTCTGAGGGATTATGCGGGTAATCGCGAAGCAGTATCGTTAAAGTAGTTAGAGCGCGTTCGGCTGAAGTCAAGTGATGTACTCGGCCTACCTATTACCTTACGGTAAACGTCCCCAAAAAAATGTTGTTATGAAGGAAACATAATTAGAAATACGGTATGAGTGGAATTTTGTACCTCAGCACAATGCAAACGTCTTACATGATTTTTAAAAAGGTATATACAGTAGTCAACTTGACTAGTCTCCCTACTTTTCGACCCTGTTTCAAACCTTTGCACACTAAATGTTGACGACACACCGCGACTAAATATTCACAGTTAAGCGGTAAATCCTAAACGAATATATTTATTTTTAATCAAAACGTATGCGAGACGTATGTAAAAGCCGGGAAACTAAATAATTTGGCGTCTTACGTGAAGTCGGTATAGTGGATTTGGTTTTTCGATGTTGGCGCCAGAGATCCCCAGCCGCTATCTTGATCTCGATCCGATCAGTGTGTCAACAAGACGTGTGCAGG